CGCGACGCATGGCTTCGATGCTCATAGCTCGAGGAGGATCGGGAGCAGGCTGTTCACCCCTGCGCAGGTGCTAAGTGCACTTAACAACAATTAAGATTTAGTTTCTTCAGCTTTACAACCAAGTGCTGCTTTGAGCTCCTGCCGAGATGATGGAAAGCAGAAGATGCAGGCTTGCGAGCGCCGAGTATGAGGATAATCTAATGATACCGGGGGGTGCTGCAGGGCACGGTACCTCCAGGACTACTGGAAGGAAAGCAATGTAGGCATTTATGTATAAAATCCAACTGAAATATTTATTAAATTTTTGTTATCAACTTCCTTGAGAGGAGAACGGCAATAATTATAGAGGAATTATCGTATCGATTGATCCTGTAGTGCACAGGCACTACATTGCCCACAGTTGCGCTAGCCTAAGAATAAGATAAAGAGTGGATACTGTGAGATATTCGAGGTCTGAGGTTACCTTGGTTCGAGGTTACCTTGGTTCATGTATAAGAAGAATTCAGTAATATTAGTAGTCTTATGAGTATGTTAGAGGTGTAGCAGTCTATTAGGGGCCGGGTGCTAAGCAGCAGCACCCAACCCCTGGGCTACGCGCCAGGGCGCGCTGAAGGAGTATAGTTAGGCCTTGTGTAGCACCGTATGATCAATTGGAGATAAATATCTTACTAATTAGAAGACGTTGGCACTCTTACGAGCAGAGTTTATCCGAAAGAGCCAGGTCTCGCCTGCGGTCTGACCGTAGCACCTGCTGCCTGGTTGAATAGCCGGCAGCTGAAAAGTTGAATAGCCGGCAGTAGCCCGCACCTGGCGGGGACAAGCACACACTGATGGAGGAAAGCGATTCTGATCGATCCCTCCATCGGACGTTTCGTAAATTTAGGATTTTCCCCGGGAATAACAGAAACCTGAAGTCATTTTGGTACGTAATTCGTAGATCCAGTGACAAAGAGGCCGCGGCCGCGGGCCTGTTTAGGAGTCATACGTAGCCACAGTAGACGGCCACCGTGTGTTACACCAAGGGCCCTGAATTGCCCTTGCTCTAATCGGTGAAGTCTAACTAAAGAACAACCTTGTCAACTACTCCAATATGTGCTCTAATTACTAAACTGTAACGACTACTATTTTGTAAGAACTACCAGGTGTGCCGACACCCTCTTCCCCCTTCCGAGCAGGAAGCGCTTTGCCGTCTCGTTTATTCTTCTTTGTCTTCATTTCTTGTTTCGCCTGCTCTTCTATTCATTTCGCTTGGATCGTGTATGGGTTTGCTCTGCGTCTCTTCCAGGCGCGGATATTAATATCTATTACTGCTACCTTGGCGCATGCTCAGGCTGCCGTCGGTGCTGTGGGGCTGGCCCGGCGAAGGCTCAGCTTCGAATGCGTTGCATCGACAGCCGTCGTTTTGAAGAACCCCAGCCGTTAATATGGTTTTGTCTCCTACTTGTTGCGGTTTGCATCTCCTTTGCGCGTAACTCCCGCTGAAGGTACTGTGTGACGATATGCAATAACAGCCTGTCGGTATCCCCTTACACTTCTGCCGGATAATCTCTAGATCGAATATTCTTTTCCTCTACGCAAAAGAAGACAATGCAACTAGTACATTGTAGTCCTCGCGCACTACAGCTAAT